TCTTCCACTTTAATTTAACCTTAACACTTGAACAACCTAATTCTTCACCGCATGATCACTCTTGACATCGATAAACCCGTCCATGTGTAAGTATATATATAGAAATATAGAGCAAGATGACAGTGTGTGCGAGGTTGACGTCAGGAGGCCATCCTCCGTCCAAGACGGGACATGGACAGGGGCCTGACCCAGAAGAGACCGTCGGTAGCTCGAGGCGACGCATGCATGAACGCTGCTGCTGTGTTATGTCTTGTATGTATGTCCACAGGCTGTAAACCTGGATGTATGCATGCTCGTATGTGTATCTACCATTTCTCTGGCTGGGTACAATTTCAGCTGCAACTGGGCTGACTCGTTGGGAAGGCGAGTCTCTGCATAACAGCGTCATCGCCATGGGGCTAACGCAAGCCGATCGCGATCTCTCCCTGATTCTGGGGAAGAGAGAGGAGTTGCCCCCGGTGGTTTAGCTAGCACACGAGCTCGTTAGCAAGTTGGCCAGCTGTTTGACTAGTGTGAAGCTGGAGTTGAAGAGATGGCTCGACTGGAACGGCTTCCACGCAAGCTCCGTATCGTCAACAACACCTCGAACTAACGGAGCATCACAAACCGACCAGCAGGGCCGTCCTTCCCTCTTCCCCACAGTCCAAACACTGAGTTAAGCCAGTTCGTCCGCGCAGGTGTGGATTGGCTCGCGTAATTTGCTCGGGGAAGAGAGGATGCAGTCTCCGGCAGGAAGCATAATATTAAGCATTTGCAAGTCTCCCTTTTCCCACTTCTTTCTTTCTTTCTTTTTTCCTCATGGGCCCCGTTGCTTTTTCCCCCTTCTTCGTGCTTGGAGTAGTTGAATGCGGGCTGGAAAAAGAAACCTGGGTTCAATAATTACAGACGCTGTGGTCCAGGGATCTCAATGCCGGAGCATACTTCTGTGTTTGGAACACATCACAATTAGCCAGATGTTTAGCTGGATGTTTCCTTTATATATCATCAACTTGGAGCATGCCTTTTTATACGTACTCCGTATCCGTTAGATATATCCAGATAGTACTCCGTAGATATAAGTATAATATATCCCATGAACTCTGCAAACTCGTGGATGCCCCCTCGACGCCCTCCCCCTGAGGCCATGGAGATTCCAGGAAACCCTTCACCGGGTCGTAAGCGAAGTCACCTCGACGTATAAAGATGCTGGTCATCGAGAGATAAGCAGTCTGCTTGACAGGGTACGCTTCCAGCCGCATGTCCTCCTTGCTCGACTGTCGATATCCATACCCATACATAGGCTATCGGGCACGACCACCGACTGTTCTTCTTGCCGCTTTTCTTTTTGCTTGTTCCAACGGCAGTTCTACAGAAAGCCGGCTGAGTCGACAGAGATCGAACTACCGACCGATAGAACTGCTGCTCCGTAAAAAGCATGCTAGTTAAGAAGAAAAAAAATAAAAAATAAAAAATAAAAAATAACAGCGAACGAACTAGCCGGGGAAAGGTAGGAAAAAGGAATACGGCGAAGGCTTAGTTATAGCAAATGCACCCACTGATGTCATCGACGTAACTTCTGTAAGCCTGTATGTCTAAACGACAGACACGACTCGAGAGGGAACGGAAACCCAATCGTAATACAAAGCGCCAGTCAGACGGACAGGAAGAAGGAAAAGAGCTTTGTATCGGCATGGTTCAGGGGCCAACGGTGTCTGCTGGCATCGTGACCCTCACAGTACTTGGCCATTCCTGGCACTTAAGCAGAGTTCGCCGGGTGCCGGAAAGGTAGTCCGTAAGCCCTTTTTCGATCCCAAGGGCCTAAGGGGGTCAGGGTCACGTCGAAAAGTCGAAATCGTAACGGCTTTTTTTAAGCCATGCCGTCCACATGGGTTCGTTCCTCACTGTCCAACCCCCCTTAGTTACGGAGCACGCCCGTCAGACTAGCGAGTTGCAAGAGATATATGGCCTTCGTTTGTCACCAGGCATCCTCCCACTACCTGTACTTATATGTGTGTATATAGTCACTTATCTCTACGCTCGGAGCAGAGCAACGGTAGAGCTAGAGGAGGGGGGGGAAGGGGGGAGAGGAAGGCAAAATATCCATGTTCCCGGTAACCAGGCTGACCTCGCGGTTTATTGGTGGAAATGCCCCTTGAAGCGAGTCTGTTCATATAATTAATACTGATAGTCGAAACAGGATATCCCATCTTCGAACTGGCTAGCTGTTGTTATGTGAGATAGTAGGTAGCTATCCTGCTATGCTTGAAGAAGGGCGGTCCCCCGGAGAATTCCCATCCTCGTCAGCCGGCAGAGCGGTTGCCTTGCTTTGTGATAAGTCGATGACCGGCTAATTCCCACCTTCGGGTTTGCTTTTGAAGTCTTCGTTTTGAGTCCGGTGTAAGATGTATATATGTGCATGCAATACACGCAAAGGAGGCCTCCCTTTCCTCCTGACGGGATTGATCCCGATATGATGATAAACTAGTCAGTTGTGGTAAATTTATACGCAATGCCTCACCTGCTAGCTCAAGACTCTCCGCTTCAGCTTACCGGAACCAATGCCGCCCACACCGGTTCTTTTCTTTCCCTGGTCGGTTTGTCTATTGCTTCTTCCCCGTTCTCCAGGTCGGTTAAGCATGCATTTTGTCATGAAAACCCGAGTTGTGTCTCATAGGAGGGTGATAAGCACGGAGTAGTGGCTTGGTGGAACTCGCACCTTTCGAGCCCTATAACCAACAGAGCCACTCGTTCGTTCGTTCCTTCGTTTGTTACTTGTACGTCTCCTTCTTTCTCTTTACTCCTCCTTTCGGCTGGCGTTCATAGTTGGGTGATGTATTTAATATCCATGGGCCTCGAGCCGCAATGTTTGGGCCTCACCACCTGCGGGCTTCAGGCAAGAAAAAAGTAAGAAACTCTGCAGCTGCAGTTGGCCATACCATAACTACTTCAGTAACTACTGTCGCTTTTCCTGCTGGGCCTGTAGTCACAGAATAATTGCAATCGCAGGGAGAGGGGTGGCGGGAATGACCCATATGCCTGCGTTGGGCTTCGCTGTTCCCCTTGTGGTATCAAAAACAAAATCATTTAACCACAGGAGCCAGGCCAGCAGCATACGGCTAAGAGAGCCAGCAATCAACCCATGGAATACGAACGGGGAAAATGCGATATAACTGCCAGTGTGGGCGTTATCAGCAAGGACCAAGCGTGGGCCGGGGCAGATGCAAGTAAGTATATACCGAGAGTCCTCCATGCCTACTATAATCTCGTAAGTTTGAGTTTGTAGATCTAGCAACGCCAGCAGCAGGAATATGATGCCAGCTGCAAAGTCAAACGAGTGGGACGAGCTGGGCCACGCATCTTGCTCCTGGTTTCGTTTCTTTTTCGTCTTCTTTGGTGGTGTTTTATTTTCTTTCTTTTTTTATACCTAGAGGCTAGTTGGTTTAGTTATAGAGAAAAGAAAAGAAAAGTACAGCAGCAGAGTAAGTGTACAAAAAGACAGTGGAGCCACGCAAGAAGAAAGTAGGTGCAGACAAGGATAATAATTTCGATAAGAATAAAAAGGAAAATGGCAGAGCAGGAGATGGAATGGCAATGACGGTAGAAGCGAAATGACAGGTTCCTATTTGACTGACCGATTCTTTTTGTAAAATAAAAATACAAAAAAGAAAAATTAACAGTCTGAAACCCGTTGGAATGCAGATAATACTTTTGGCGCGATAGTCGATTAAGAATATAATATCTGCGAGTTAATACGTGCCCTATTATCATCATCATACCCCGTACTGATCATCGGGTAATGCAGGTGGGCTAAAGCTCCCAAAAGAAAAAGTATTGTAAATATAAAAATTGCAAAAAAAAAAAAAAAAAGAGAGAGAGGTGAAAAAGAAAGAAGAAAAAGAAAAGCGAGCGTGACAGGCGGCTAAAGAGGAGACACCAAGATATAGAACGGAGGTTGGTTGAGAGCTGGAGGCAGATGGAGTCGAGATGAAAGAGGCTTTTGGGAAATGTTTACAAAAAGAAACACATTAAAAATAGAGATATAACAGAAGCATCACCTCCCCCTTGTTTTTCAACCTCCATTCCACCCGCCCGGTTTCGTCCTTTCTGCACGCCACATACGCACCCGTCAGTCCATAAGTATACCCGGGAGGGTAGCAGAAGACATACATAACCCTCGTGGCGTTGGTTCAACTGCGCACTGCAACTTCAATCACATATTCAGTCGCTCATCAATCTCCATCCTTCTTCTCCCCCTCCCCCCCTTTTTTTCAGCTGCTTTTAAGACCGGACCCATAGTTCACAGCTCAGCTCTGACTTCCCTTTCTTCCTCTTCCCCAACAAAGAGGATACCTTCAAAAGTACAGCACTTTCGCCTCTGACCTAGTTTTATCGTGCTTATCGTCTGGATTCTCCCTTATTCTGCAGTCGCCTTCGTTGCAATTTCCCTCTGTCGACTAGAGAAGTCGGGATATGCTGTTTGCTCGTTGTCTTAGGCTTGGTTGGGCAAGGAGTTAGATATCCAATAATTGGTCACGGCTTGATCACTGCCCCTTGCTACTTGCAGTTCTCGGTTCCTCACCCCCTAATTGGCTTGGTAGACCCAGCTTCAAAAAGCACGGTCATTCTTCAGCCTAAAGCTCCGATTGGGATATCCAGGTATCTACCACCTTTCTCCAAGACAGTGAAAATCACATCCGACGAACAGGTCAGGGGAGAAAAAACAAGAGGGAAAAGAAAGAAAGAAAAGTCCTTGAGGACTGCTCTCCCACATTTTCTCCTTTTTGTGTACCAATATTGGCTGTCCTCTAATTCGCGGCTTCTTTCTTTTTTTGCAAATTTGGAGGGAATTCTCAATATACTTGACCGACTGTTCGTACTCTGCTCGTTGGTACGGGTTACCCTGTACACGACTGCAGCCGCATCTTGCTAAAACCGTCATCTTCGCATCAAACTTCATATTTCTGTCGTGGAGATACGTTCTTTTTCACGCCTCAAAAAAATTCCCCTTTTTCTTTCACAGTTCAGCTTTGGGAACATTGCATTTTCGACATCCCCACCGCCTCGACGACGCTATACCACTTCTCAATAGCTGCAGTTACATCTGCCCGAAAATCAACACTCGAACAGGTATTCAGATTGAGCCATAGACCATTGTGTGCTACCGACTCCGGGATAAATACATCGAGTCCCGATAAACTCCTGGGTTGATCCTTGGAACTCCTCGAGGGAGTTGTGTGGACGTTGCATAGATAGCGGTAGGTCTCAATTTCCTTCTGGCAGCCTCCACCACCCCATTGATCCTTTTCTTTCCTCGGCATTGCCCCTTCCAGTCTTAGTGTCCCTTTCGCTATAACCCTTCCTCTTTCACATTCTTCTCGTCCAGAGTTGCACAATATACACGTGCAATCATTCGCGATAAGCGGGACAAAAGACGGGTGTGGGACTATAGCAAAAGGAAAGAGGCCGAACCTCACCCCATCATCCCAGTCACTATTACCCCTATATGCAACCAGGCATGACGACCGCGCCAGATTTCTCTTACTTCCCCTTTTGGCACCCGTACGCTTTGAAATCGTCGGTGAAGAGCTCAAGCGGAGCTTCGAGGCAGATAAATAACCACCATTCTCCCACATCTGGCGCGTTGGATTCCCCAGAAATCATCATTCTTCTTCCTTCGCCATTAGAAGCCCCATTCTCACCAAGAATCTTGAACTTATTTCATTTTCATATCTGAACATTGCGCTGACATTCAAGCCTGTCCACAGCTGCGGCGAGACCTATTATGGTTTTGCGCATTGTTCCATATATTGTCACAGGCAAGGTGGATATTTCAAAGCTTCTGGGATCTCCAGAGGATGAGGAGAAGAGTACAATAAGGCTCCAGGATTCAAGAACATCAGCAAACATCCACACATCAATCGGAAAAGCCCACAGCGAAGGATTCCAGTCACCAGTAATCGAAATGGGCATCCCAAACTCGTCAGTCGAGGAGTGGTCGTACCAGCCAGCTCCACAGGACCAGATTTCCATGCAGCAGCAGCAACAACAATCGATAGTGCCATCGAAGCGTGGCAAGAGTTCTCCCACGGGAAAGGACCGCATCAAGAAGCAGTCGAAGTGGTCGGCCGATGAAGATGCTTTAATTACCATACTCCGAGGTAAAGGCATGAAGTGGGAGGACATCAGCAAGAGACTTCCAAACAGGAGCCCAATCAGTTGCCGCCTCCATTATCAGAACTACCTCGAGAGGAGGAGTGAATGGGACGAGGATAAAAAGAACAAATTGGCCCGCTTGTATGAACGGTAGGTTTTCCCCTTCGTCCTCCACCTCTTTTCGGCCATTACAAATACTGACCAGGCATAGATTCAAAGCAGATATGTGGGCCAAAATCGCCGAGGAGATGGCTATCCCATGGCGAGCAGCCGAAGCCATGCACTGGCAGATCGGTGAGCGCGGTATGGCTCAACGAGCAGGAGTCACTCCGTTCACATTCTCCAACGTCGCCTCATCACCACCCCAGAGAGCCCGAAGGGCCAGCCAGCCAACTATCGGCTCAGGCCGTCCAAACTACCCCCCGCAAGTCACCCAGCTTCCCTCCGTTGCCGAACTCACAGCAGGCATTCCGGCATATGCAACAACACACCCATCTGGTGTAATGCACCACACGACATCACCTCCTCGATCTCCGCCGAGCCCTACCACACTGGAGGCATATCGAACAAACCCCAGACCGCATGAGAGGAGAATATAAAATCGAGTGAATTGCTCATTAGACGTAATCAATACGAACGATTGATGACTGACTGCATAGCGGGTCTGGGCGGACGGTTTGCATCCTGGATATACTTTTCTCTCCTTTTTTTTTTGTTTGCTGGTACTCGACTTCCGGGGCTTTGTTGGATTAATGTCTCTTCTTTCAGGAACGTGTAGTTCTAATTATTTATGACTGTCTGGTATCTCATGTTTCTCTCTGTCGATGTTTTTGTTTGATGAGCTGCCGTCGTTCTGCGTCTTCGTCTCTTATGAAAAGGGCGTCGTTGATTGGTGCAACTTCCCTCCTTTTTTTCCGCTTATATAACCCACTAATTGGGACGACTCTATAGTCATCACGTGCACTGACATTCCCTTCAATGGCTTGGTAACATCATGTGACCCAACTTCAACCGTCCATCTACTCTTAAGGCTGCCGAAGCTGTTGCGGTTGCCCCTTTTGTAAACAGCTATCTAACCACCGGCATTCGATATCCAACGTCTCCTCATCACAACGTTGCGTCAGGCCTCTCTACTTTTTACTAGATAGTCTTGAAAAACTTGGTACACAACACGGTGAATTCTCCGTCAAATGATACCAGGATTTACAATGGCGGGCCACAAAAGAAGACGCCTAAACCCAGGTGTTGCAGACCCGTTTCGGCGATACCCTGGCATTCCAGAAAGCCTGCAGGACCTACCAGCCAATAGGCCGTCTACAATGACTCCAGTTGATGGAAACTGGAGCTGCTCTTTTATCTCATGTGTCGAAAGTATGTGTGGCAAAGTGTTTTGTTTTATCACATCACAATACACCTGTTAATCCATTCTTCCAACAGAAACAGAATCAACAGAATGGGGTAGCCCGAAAGTTGCAGCTGCAAGAGCCGTACTTGAGGACGCGGTAACTGCAGATAACGAGAAACTAGTTCGCACCTATCATCCTGCGCTGTCTGCCAGTAAAGTCGTCTCAGTATACCGGGAAATGTCAGGGAAGATATTCTGGCTGGTAGAGGCATCTGAAAAGATTATTGATTATACCCATGCTGCCGAGAGGGAGATTCACATTGAACGTGGAGTATATGCGCCTCATCCATTGAGGTATATGCTCTCCAGAGATATCCACATTTCACGGTTCATATACCCGCGTCGAATGTTGACTGCCATGGATATTGCGGAAATCCAACGATTTTACCCCAACTGTATAGGGATCAGAATTTTTGTATCCGGATATGCCGTATTTCTTTTTAGAAATATGGGGGAAATGCAAAGTGCCTGGAGCTACGGAAACCCAGACCACGTAGGCGGTTTATTACCCCGTTTTGACATCGTGGACATAATGCCATGCAGAGAAACAATACAATTACCATCTGGTCATGGTATTGCACCTGCACCAAACTCTTTTGCTTCTCAGATATGCCTTGGCTTAAAAATACGGCTTGTGGGCGGTGAAGAAGCAATTACAACCGTTACCCATGGCTTCGTCAAGCTACCCCAGTCGGTACCTCGCTTCCCAAGGGTTGCCAGTTGGATGATCCGAGCAAAGCAGCGGTTACAAAGATTCCTGCCGAATAAGCCTCTTATTACGTTACCTGGTGAGGTGGAGTGCCGTCAACGGGGTGTTCTTGGATCTTCGGCCCTTGGGAAGGCTGTATTTCTTTCAGGTGAAGCCACCAAGGTAAGGCCACAGTGCTATCTATAATGCTTGCACATTATGTTAACCCTAATGCCGATAATTCTAGATTGGAACCATTACAACTACATATGATAATCCAAGCCCACTTTACCCTTATCCAGCAGGATACACCCATGATTTGTCTTTGTTTACGGACTCTAACCTTCCACGCATCACTAGCCCACCGGGTGTTGGAATGGTCACTGGATGGGCAGACTATATTGATGCCCTCGAAGGAAAGCCCGTTTTTACTACCACGTTTGATGTTTCTATAAACAAGGAACGACGAGTGGAAGGGCAAATAGCCACGAATTCAACAAAACAAGCAATGATCGAAGGTGTTGAGTATGTGTGGGAATCTTCTGCCATTACCGCCTCTTTGCTATGGAGAACAATAGGTAAAGATAATCAACCTGTCGACAAATTTTCAGGATCGGTTCTATGTCTCGGAAGACCCACGGATGAGAACATCAAGGCTGTCGTTTTTCAAAATTACGTTACTCCAGTCAAGGAATGGCAAATAAGAGGGGAGGATCCTCTGTCTAGTACCTTTAATCCAACAATGAAGGCAGGCTTCTTACTTCCCAGCGAAATAAGAGAGAGCGAGATTATTTGTGAACCCAAGCAATCACAGCAGAGAGGGTTAAATTCTTTCCCCACACGTGGAGAGAATCCACCTTGTGGTAGCCATGAAAGGAAATTCTTTACAGGTCCCAAGTAAACTAGCCCTTGTTTCCCAGAGCAATCAACATATCATTATACAGGCTCCCCCTCCTACGTGTTTCCTGTCTTGAGGACTTGAATAATAGTGGAGAAATGTGACCAGCAATCAAAATACCAGCCCTCCTGAATTCTCAATATTATATCTACTCTTGTATATATATACGGCCAACTCTATTCGTAGACACTATGGTAAGTGGACGTCCTCTTCTCAATACCATACTTCCGTCCAACCGCCTAGTGACAACTTTATGTCCGTGGCAATGGGCATGCGATCGCCCACCAATTATCTTTCTCGTATCCAGACTCCAAAACTCTTCCTCCGGCAGCAGCAATATTATTTTCCAATTCCCCTTCTCGGTAAAGGTGATAATATCTGAGGTAGGTAGTCGGTTCTGGTTTCTTCTCTGGCTCTGTTGTCTTGCCAGCTTCACCCGCAGAGATTTCAAGCGACTCAGCCTTATTCATGCCTCTAGCTTTTGTATTCTTTGCTTTTCCCTCATTGGTTTTCAAGACCCAGGGTACCATTACATCCTGTTCATGATCTGCATCCCAGCCACGCCGGCTATCCTTTTGCTCTAAGGCCCAGACGTAGATAAGCACTTTCCCACCATTTGGATCTTCTAGGGCTGGCGGTTTTAGGGTATTTAAAATGGCAGCTATTGCCCTTATCCTGCGCTCTGGAAGGGATAGATGGTGTATCACCGCGATTGAAATTGCAAAATCAAAGCAACCATCCGGATGAGGCAGACTCAGAGTGTCTGCTATGATCGCTGAGTGTGGTTGATGTTGTCTTGCGAATTTAGTCAAAGCCTCAGATCTACGCTGAAATATCAGTTCAGAGTAGGACAAGAGGGGGATCCTTGGGGGCACAATTTAAAGCTCTCACCTGTCTGAGGCTATGATAAATATATTGGAATTCACTTTCAAATATTTCCCATTGCCACATCCGACATCTAGGCCGATAGAGCCACTGGAAATATCTTTCAAGAACCTCTCGACAATTGGCCACGGCTGACACTCTGTTAGGTATATTTATTTTAATATCGAGGAACTTAGCGACATACTTTATATCGAGTTGATGAAAAATGTGGTGCAATTTCCTGGTAGACCTTGTGGACATGCTCTTCTTCGTAGGATTCGCTATTACTGGCCATTGCATTCACCTTCATAGAGCTTGGACCGTCCCATATGCAGAGAAAAATATATTTGCTAAAAAAAGGACCATTGATTGATTTTGGACAACGGTTGAAGGCAAAGTGGATTGCCATAGTTGATAGTTCTCCATCCGCGCGGCTGCGGCTAACTTAACTAACTAGGTAACTAGTTAACTAAGGGGTACCTTGCGCTTATTCCGCGTTAAGAACTGAGGGGTAATTTGTTATTTGATAGTACTTCGCACTCATCCAAGTTACTCCAAGGACTCCAGAAGGCAAACCGTCATCCACCCGACTACTCGATTCTTTCCTGTAATTTTCTTATACTCAAGATGGATCCTCTTGTTAGCCCGGCCGACGTGTCAGTACAGGTATCAGTGGCCTCTGACAGTCCGGTTGAGAAACCATCTTTTGCAACTGAGCGTCGAGTAACTCCATCATGGACAGTCACACAGCTCAAAATAAAGCTCGAAGCTATGACTGGGATTCCTCCAGGCAGCCAGCGGTTAATGTTAAAGTCCCCAGGACGCGAACATCAATGGATGGATGGTGAAGAAAAAGTTATTAGCCAGTGGGGAATTGCAAAGGGCTGTGAGATCGAGGTATATAGAATAACCACACTTGAATTCTGTTTGGCTGGTTTCTGGCTACTACCCCCCATGCAAGTTTGGTCTGGGCAGGTGTGTTCTAACAGTGTATTAGATCCATGACCAGCGCCCTGTGGCTGCGCGTCCAAACTACTCCGATGTTTCGACCACTGAGAAGTTTGAACTCTCGGATTCTACCTACGAGTCACTACCAAATAGTGTTCTTGCATGGAAGAAAGCTCAAAAACTTGGACGTTTTGATCCAAATGCTGCATCTCCAGAAGACAAAGTGAGACAACAGCTTCAGAAGGATGCCAATGAAATTAAAACTAAAGGTACTCCCCGTCTCTGCTTATTACTATTCAAGTCTCTCACCAGTGTTTAAATAAACAGGAATTAGAGTCTCTGAGCGGGCAATAATACTCCCGTCAAGCCCCCCGCATATCCGTAGGGGGACTATCAGATTTGTTGGTCCTGTCCCTACCATTCCATCGCCCCTTAGCAAAACTTATTCAGGGGAAATACCCGATGATTTGGCACCAATATGGGTAGGTATTGAACTTGACGAGCCTACTGGTAAGAATGATGGTAGTGTGAACGGGGAGAGATATTTCAATTGCCCAAACAACTGCGGTGTTTTTGTCAAACCAGAGAAAGTTGAGGTTGGCGACTACCCGCCACTGGGATTGGATTTGGACGAGGACATGGAAGAGATCTAAACACGAGTTTTCCTTGATAATTTGGTCTAGCCAGGTGATAGATATCTACATTCCTACTACTCTCTAGTACGTATAATCCGTGGTTATTAAATAGAGCAAGGAATTACTACGGGCAGGACCAAGCGGTTCGTACGTATATTATGAATGACAATGGCTACAACCAACATAATAATAGATGAGTGTCTCTTAACAAATCATCTACCGGTTTTACATAATGTTTACGTAGTGCCTCGATGGTATCCGTTAGATATATTCAGAGGGTATAGTTCCATTGTACAGAATCGCTCATGCCTGGAGTATATTGTATAAAAAGTCGTACACGGTAGCGTATACTGTGGGAAATCAGAAAAAGTACGTAAACCGTCATCACCCTCCTTTGGCGCCCTGCTTGGGACGACCTCGCTTTTTACCTCCTTTCTCAGTAGCATTGTTATTTGTTTGAGTTGAAGGAGCCTCTGGCACAGGCGGGGCGGCAACGCCGGTGTCAACATTCCCATCCGCATCCAGGGGTATGCAACCTTGCGTAAAAAATATAGCTGCTGGTTTTTTATATTCATTTGCAAAGCTGTAGTTATTCCCTGAAATGGTTTATTTGGTTAGCTGTTATCCACAATTATTTACACAGGCTTGAATATTAACTCACCTCTAGGTACCTGGAAGACACACCCCTTGCCAGCGCTGAATTGCAAGCCTGCGATATCGACCCGGATTCTGCCATAGTAAACGAAGAAAACCATATGCATTCGTTTTGAGTTTTTCTGCTTCTTGATCGCATTTGGAGGCATTTCCACAAACCCAGATCCGAGAAATGGTGTACTGAGGATCTTTGCAAAACGGAAGGTAGAATCCTTGACTTCATGTGTCTCAATCGCTGAGGGAGCATAAGCAACATCTAGTCGGGAGTTGGTTAATTTTTGCCGGAATAACATAAAAATAGGTAGTATATCTTACCCATCATTTCTTCCTCTTGGGTTCCGGTCTGTTTTTCTGGGTCCCATGTTTTTACAGGGCCGTAAAAAACGCCCTCCTGTGTCTCCCAGGGCTCAGCATTCTCATCTGGCTCATCATCGGATTCACTCCCTCCCTTCTTTTTACCCTTTGATTTTTTCTTTGAACCCCGTTTCCTCCCTGACTGGTCGATAGCAGGATCTTCTGTCCTAATGATCTCCTTGATTGTAGAGAGAGGGAACCTCTGGCCAACTTCTGCCTCACCGGTTCCGTAAACGCACTTCTCATTGCGCCAATAGGCCAACGGCCGGACAGATATTCTGCCAGAGCGTGTATGCCGAACAGTGTCGTCCGATGGAGTCTCCCGTCGTAGAATATATAAGCTGCGTTTCTTATTAAGTGGTCCATCATTTTTAGTGATATTTTCCACAACGTTTTGCAATTCTTTCTCCTGATCGACAGTCATTTGAAGATTGCTAGATTTAGCAGTCTTTTTTGCCTTCTTTGCCGGCCGTGGGTTCTCGTCTTCGTTATTGGGTTCCTGATCTCGGTCTTCCTGCCGGTTTTTCGGCTTTCTTCCACGCCCCTTACCAGTGTGATTTGATTTGGGCTCATCGTCACCCTTCTCCTCGACATTCTTGTCAGATTCTTTGCGTTTCTTGCCCTTACTTGCAGTATCCAGTACTGGTACTGGAGACTTCCCGGCCTGCTCCTCTTCTGCTTCAGATGACTGCGCATCTACATCACGATGGTCGGCGGCTTCATGGTAATCACCGGGGCCTTCAACAAACCCATTATCCTCCGCCTCATCCTCGATTAAATAGTTGGCGTCATCAGAAAAGTCTGCAGCATCACCAGCTATAGCTTCGGAACCTCTATCTTCGGCCTCACTCTCCTCTTGTCTCGCGTCCTCTTCTTCGTCCGCATGCTCGCCTGCACTCGCCTCTTCACCTTTATCCTCTTCCTCTTTTTTGTCTTCATCTTTATTCTGTTTCTCTTCTTCTTCCTCTTCTGAGTCTGGGTGTGACTGAGTTCGAGCTTGCTTCAAAGGAGATTTTGACGCTTGAGGAAGCGGGTGAGTTAGGTTGATTTTTCGTTTTGCAGCCACGTGTGTAGATGTAGGACTTGAGAACTCGCTCTGCGGTAGAGGAGAAGAGCGCAACCCGGGGGTTCGTCGCGGAGATCCGCTCATGAGGGATTTCATCGGAGAGCGCGATCGCGGTGGAGGGATGTAAGCATTTCGGCCTCCCCGTCTAGCGGAGAGTACATCTGATGGGTCTGGAATACTACTGCCTGGTAGTTATATGTCCCGTAAGTTATTGTTGTAAACAAGACTACATGCTGAACGCCCGTTGGTATAAAAAACGGCTTGATGGGGGCAGATGCAGTCACTCACTTCCTCCAGTTTCCATTTCTTCTGAATTCATCAGGCCGTCATTGCCGAACCCATTTGTTCTCACGGGGGATTTCTCGGGGGAGGAGAACATTCCTTCGAGCTCTTCCATGCCATGTTCATCGCGTTTGCCTTCCTTTAATGTGATTCCAGTTCGCCTTAAAGATACAATGCGCGTCAGTTATAATGCTGAACAAAATAGGGATTTGTCAAACTACCTTCCAGCTTTCCCAACATTCGAATAATCAAACTCGCGGCTCTTGACGGGGGGTCTGCGCGCCGCCATTGTCAGAGCTGCTATGTGTATACGATCCAGACAGGCCGATGCGAAACCCAGTTGACGAGCGAGGTGGTCCAGCCAGGTAAGGTATATAATGTCTTCAACCAAAATAGCGGCTGTTCTTGTAGTGACCGCCTATGTCTGCGACTCAACGTCCTTCCCGTGAGTGGCTGTCACCGAGCTATGCGGTCTTGATGAAATTACTTACCAACTCGCGGTAGTTAGCTAGTTAGTTATTATTAACACACGAAAGGATGCGGCGCTAAACCCAAAGACGCGCCAAAACAACCGCGCTTTAGTTAACTGCCTATCAATCCTTATTTTCGAAGTCAACAACGACCTTGGAGTTTCAGCTTCTCAGTTCGCCTGTAACTTTTTTCTAATAATACCCAGCCAGGGAGAGGAGTTGACCTCGAGAATACAGGATTACCTACCCTACTCGATGGAAGACTCTCAAAATGAAATGCTGGACGAGCCAGTTCCTGAGACAATCGGCTCTAAGGGCATATATGCCCCCCCATCAGTTGACCATTTGAGGTTGTTAGCTGGGGAATCTTACTCCCATTATTCCACCTGCCCAGCCAATATCATACCGTCAGTGAAATCATCCACTGAAGAGAAGAAAGCAGAGCCTACGCCATGTGTACTTGGAATAGACGAAGCAGGTAGAGGGCCAGTTTTGGGTCCGATGGTCTACAGCGCATTTTATCTCCCTGTACACCTTCATAAATCACTACTTGCAGATGAACACCATTTCGATGACAGTAAGGTGTTGACCCCCGAAGTCCGGTCAAATCTTATGCGTTCTTTATGCACACAAGGCCACCCATTACACGACTCATGCGGATGGGCAGTCAAAGTTATGTCCGCCCGAGATATATCCTCGGGGATGCTACGACCTTCTATGGCAGCTGTTTATAACCTCAATGCTCAGGCATTGGACGCGACCATTGAAATAATACGCGGTGTGGTTGAAACTCACGGCATAGACGTTAAGGAGGTTTATGTCGACACAATCGGAAAGCCGGAAACCCACCAAGCTAGATTGTTACGAGTCTTTCCAGGCTTGAAAATTACTGTGGCTAAGAAGGCTGATTCATTATATCCCTGTGTCAGTGCAGCGAGTGTATGTGCCAAAGTCACAAGAGATGCTGCCCTGGAGGCATGTTACGAAAGTTGGTTGAATCAAAGGGAAAAGCAAAGGGCTGTAGCAACAGGAGAAGACGAGGAAAGTACCGCTGAGGAAATATTAACTTGGGGTAGTGGGTATCCATCTGATGGAAAGTGTGTTGGATGGCTTAAAAAGGACATGAACCGGTTGTTTGGTTGGGGTTATGAATGTCGATTTAGCTGGGGTACATCGAAGGAGCTCCTGGAGATAAAATCGGGGCTCAAGGTTGACTGGCCTACTGAAGAGGACGACAGTACAATGCTAGTAACTCAGTACTTTACATCCAAATCAGAGGCTGATGGTCCAGCAAATGAATTACGGGACTGGTATGGGAATAAGCAAGCGGAAATATTTTAGTTGATGAAGCGGATACCACCATTCAAGGGGGAGATTATAGAATATACATGTCATTCGAGACCTCACGAAGGAAATTAAAATATTCAGACAAGAAAGCGAAATAAACAGTAATAAAAATATTCTAAGCATCTAACCCAAAAACCTCGAGCTCCGTATGAAAGAAAAAGGGATAAAATAAAACGGCGCCTGATTTGCTACTCCAGTTGGCTCATTCGAAACGAAACCAATGGAAATCAGATGTACTGTATCGCCTCTTACATTGTAGCCGTGGAGAAATAGTAGTTGTCCCAAAGATACTCATAGTCTTCGACAACACTCCCTACAAGGCCAAGTAGGGGCTTATCGCGTAAGGAGTTTGTAATGGACTTTATCCATGATCTTTCACAAGTATTAGTTGCAGTCCGCTCAGGATAATAGTAGGTAGATACGTACTTCGTGATGTTTTCGTAGAAAGCAGCCCTCATAATCCACCACCCCATGCTCCAACCTCTCTTACTGAGTTCTTCTCTCTCCAGTTTGGATAAGCCACGAAGGCCTCCTGCTATCCTATCACGGAATTCTTTTTTGGCAAGCTGACGGCAAGTAAATTCCAGTCCAAAACCAATAAGCCAAGGAGTCCAGCTCTTCTTCTTCGCTCTATATCGCTGGAGTGCGATCACATAAATCAACGGCCGGAGAATATATAGAACCTCTGCCAGCTGACCTGCTCCAGAAACCCGGTGCAACAATGTTTGTGGAGACCGAACATCATCTGCTGTTAAAACTTTAGAGGTAAGATATGTCGAGATATCATTTGCGTCCGGCAGGTTTGGTAGCGACATTCCTGTTCGAGGCATTGACCAGCTTGAATCAATAGCTTCAGATGGTTCACTTGGTGGTGTTTCCATGCCATTAAAATCACCATTATCATCCCCGTCCGATTGTCTTGGATCAACCTCTCGTTCTGGAAGTGGTGGGCTGACAATAGGCCTAGAGTTCGTTAAGCGCAACAATATTAACCTACAGAAAGCCTTCACAGCTTCTATAAAAACAATGACGCGCCACCGAAGTTTCTCGCCTTTCCTGCGTGCTGCCATTTCCCATAATAGTTCAGTATACTTGACCATCTGAAGCGCCAAAGCAACTTTGTGGTATAGAGGTGATTGGAAGGCCCAGTATTTGGTATATCGAGTGTGCGGAGTAGGGGTAGGGCGCGGTTGGGAAAGCGGGAGGCGAGCTATAACACGCGACACAAGAGAGTCATGGTAGAGTGAGAGTAGCTGAACTCCTGAGTGAACTATGTCAGGGTGTCTATTAGTATTTATGCGAAGCCTTGTTTACCGCTATGGAGTTAAGGAATAACGCACTCGATTCCGATGCTAGCTCCGCTTCCCTAAACCGACCTGTAGTAAAGTATTAGTACGAAGAGCAGAATGCAACAAGTGACAACGCAAGTTAAAGCATATTTACCAGGTATGATGTATGTTAAAGAGCGTAACGCCGATTCAACCTGACCAACTGAGCTAGCATTCTTGGTGACAAACTCCTCGTACATCTCTACCAGCTTCGCAGGCTGGAGAACCTCCGGTATCTGATCTCGGAAACTCGTCACCGTCTTCATCTTAATCGCTTCATTAGATCAACTTCGAATAGACCGCAGCTTCTCAACATTCGGTGGGGAGTGAATGTTCGTTCGTACTTTGTATTGTTGCGCTGCCAACGAAAGTTTGGGTGAAGTTGCGACATGCCTCGGCATCGAATAAATCGGGGATGGATTTAAGATCTTCCACGTGACCAGGATTTTAGTCAACTAACTAATGTAAACCTTAATCTAACATCAATAAACAATTTGGGGGGGGAAGCCCTAGAACTTGGTGAGAGTATCTATCTGAACACTCTGAACATTACCTTGTTTATTCTATCAACGACAAAGATTGCTGAAATATTATTATAATTACTCATCCGCAAACTTCCAATAGCCGTCATCCTTGCACGCCTCCTTATATCTATCCAGGACCTTTTCCCGCTCCAACTTCTGTGCCATTATCCGGTCCAGCTCAATTTCTTGTGTGTTCGGCATGTCGGTTCTCCAATACCCAGGGGGTGACCCGCCAGGGACGTGCGCATTTCGATGTTTGCTGAACTTATTTGAAAGAACACTAGCCTTTGCTTCAATTAACAAATCACGGATCTCGATCGGGGACCTGCCCTCCAGGAATTTTTCGTAGGTACTACCTAGATCTCCTTTCAAGAGATCGTGGTCTGCGCGTGACAATGTGCCTAATGAACGAGGCTCTTCGCCAAGCTCATCTTTAGCCATACTGCGGTAGACTGGACCACAACATTCCTGCCTTAGACATCCACGAAGCTGCTTTCTCATGCTCTTATCTCGAACAACTTCATCAAAGGCATAATCTAGACCCTGATTTTTGCTCGGGTTAAGTTTGAAATGTTCTAGACCAAGCTCACTGATTGGTCTATGGCGAAAGCAGGATCGTGGGCGTATTTCATCATCGTCCACTTCCTCCGAAAAAGGAATAATATCATGGCCCTCCGGCTGTTTTGGAGCGTTGGGTGGTGGAGCACAAGGTGTCGCCCCAGCTTCAGTCCTATTGCTCGGTGTTTGAGGGGGTACAAATTTGTCAGGCTTAGCTATGGCAGTCTGAGGAGTCGAAAGCAAAACTGGTCTTGGAGTATGACTAGTTTCCAAAAGGTCTTGAAGACGTGTCTGCCGCATTTTTGTTGCTGGCGTACTTTTCTTAGCACTACCAGTTATAGAAGAACGTGACGATCGCCGGCCTGTTAAATATTCTTCTGCTTCGCCGTCCTCAGCAACACTTGGAATGGCGTGAGCTCCTCTTGAGAAATCAGGCTTCCGTCGTTTTGACTGAGGCATTGATGTTTCTTTCAATTTACACGTAGGAGTTACATTGGTATCAACTGGTCGCAGGGCTTGTCTTCCGCGCTTTTTGCTATGTGATTCCGTCTGTTTATCCGCATGAAGGTCCAATTGATCATCCTGGAGCTCGGGCGAAGGGCTACGCCTGTCCGGCAAGACTGTGAACTTGGGTCTAGGGAGTGGTGACTCAATCGGATCAAGCGTAGGGCTGGAAACAGGGCCATGGTTTTGTTTTCCATGGTCTTCATGATGCCGGATATCAGATAGCAAGCCAGGCGGGCTGGGTGTTGGCTCGCTCTTGATATGAAAGGGCTTTTCAGCGGTACCCATGTCGGTAGGACTCTCTTCCACCTTCACAGCACAGTACGTAGGGCTTGGAAATTGCTGCTTGCGGACTGGTCTTTCTTTCACGACTACTGGGGTATCTGGTGATTCATTGGTTTGAGGTAGCCGGCGCTCGTCGTACCTTAGGTCTTGTGATTGGGTAGATGCGAGGTCTGAATGATGTTCTCTGACCTGTGAACGAGTGGGAGTCCTGTTCTGATAGTCGGTATTTTGGGGAATATAGCTCCGAAGGGGAGTAAGGACTGGAGACTCGGCGATGATCATTTCCCCAACATGTTCTGGACTGACTCTTTTGAAAGTCACCATTTCACCATTAACAGTGGTTTCGAAACTGTCCTTCTCCAGCAGCCGATTCCAGAGAACTAGCTTCTCTTTTGAAGCCTTGTGGTTTCGACGCAGTTTACAGAATGACTTTATCAAATTGATATTCTCTGCGTAAAGCTCGCCATAAAAGCCGGCAACTCGAGAGTAGAGATCATAGTCCACAATTCCCGGAGAAGACTCAAAATGGTATATAATAACTTCAGGGTCATGCTTTTTTGCCTTATCAAGGAGATTCTTCTCAAATGCAGAGTCATCATCGTGTAGATGAGCGGTATCTTTATCCCGGAGTTCTTGCTTAAGGTCGTCAACGGCGGCCTTAAGGGCGTAATTTTCTTTAGATAGGGTTTCGATCTGTTCCTTATTCCGTGCTTGAGTGTTATCATACTCTTTCAGCCTTTGAGAAACCGCCTCCAACTCTTGTTTTGTGCACTCATGCTCGTTTGATGTCTCTTGCACAAGCTTGAGAGCCTCGTTGTAGTGATGTTGACATTGTGAAAGGTTTTCTGCCAATCGTGCTAGTGAGTCCATGTATATCTCGAATGCAATCCGTGGGCGTTGGCTGAAGGCTGGACGTTGACGTCGTTTTCGTCAGTCGTCTTGACTGCAACAACCGCGTAGGCGCGAACGCGCTGTCACGTGACACTGGGTTAGAGATAAGATAAGATCGGAAACTTGTTATCAAGGCCCGAAAGTCGAGACTGAAAAAGGCTTCGGGAATAGACCAGGTATTCACACTAGAACCTGAGCATAGATGATCGCTACTTCCAGCGCCGCCGCGGAATCACTTAAGCTATGGCGAAACGTAGCGAACGAGAAGATTCTCCGGAGGAGCCGCCGTTAAAACGCACAAGGCAACCAGACCGCCTCTCAGCTCTTAGTGATGAACTACTTCTCCACGTCCTGAGTTTCCTGTCCATCCCGGCTTTAATAACGTGTCAGAGGTAAGTATATCGGTACCAGCTGTCTACCATTCCCTTGATCTTTATCTGACCGGTGCTCAAAACAGGGTGTCTCACAGATTTGCGGCGCTCGCAGGAGACTCGGAGCTATGGAAGCGCAAATACTACTCTCGCTGGGTATGGCCGAGAGCAAGACGGATACGGCAAGTCAGGCAGGGTAGCACTGTCAAAGGCTCGTTTGACTACTCGCCTCAGGTGTCAAACTGGTTTAGTCATGGCCCTTTGACTCAAGTGGGTGAGGACAGGAATTGGAAAGGCCAGTATCGACTTCAGCACAACTGGTCAAGAGGGTCATGTCGAGTTACAGAGGTAGAAGTGGCTCAGCGCCCAGTCAGTCCTGTGGTGGTGAAATTGGAGCATGGGATTGTTTTCACGGCGGATATGGAAAATGGACTTCGAGCGTGGTCGATAAAAGATACCAAAGCGTGTCTTGCAACTATACCGTGTTCAGGCATTGGGCCCGCTTACACCGATCCTGGAGCGCCTACCGCAATGGCAGTGACTGCAAACGATCTAGAACAAAGCCGTTTTGACGTTACAATAGGGTTTAGAAATGGTGGCATGGCCGTGCATTCGTTTGATTTGGTACCTGACGGAGAATCGGCCTTTGAACTTCAGTTATGGCACCCAGGCTCGGGGGCGGAAGAGGCAGCCATAACGGCTCTGGCATTTCACAAGGAATTTCTACTTGCCATATCAGAAGACAATGTCCTGTACCTTTATCAACTATTCTCTGATGATTCCCAACAGTCAGGACTGGACAGAAATGAGAAGACAAAGAGGAGACACTCCATACGGCTGATTGCGTCGCTTGTCGCGAACAACATACAGTCACCGTTTTCTCTTTCAGTCCGCACAACGTCTACCCATGCCATTGCATCTGTGAGCTATGCCTTCCCACGCATCGGCTGTGGCTGGTCTGTCGGAATCCAGGAGCTCTACTGGAGTAAAGTTGGCGGAGATCTAACGTCTCGACTCGCAACGACCGTGGACTCCCAGTACCTCGCCAGCACACTGACGCAACCGGCTACAGGTCCACAGATAAAAGGGCCCAAGCAGATGACGTTGACACTAGGTTCCTCTGGCCATGTTTCCTCCTCTACCCCGTCGCTATCTTACACCCAACCCCCTACATCACTTTCCTATTCCCACCCTTATCTTCTTGCATCCCACGCCGACAATACACTGACGATGTACCTAGTTGTGTCGACGGTCGATAACTTATCCATTAAGACCGGTCGACGGCTCTGGGGCCATACATCGGCTGTGTCTGGCGTGCAGGTGAGCTCGCGAGGGAAAGCAGTATCAGTGAGCACAAAGGGAGACGAAATTCGCATCTGGGAACTTGAAGAGGTGATATCGTCTCGCCCAGCATCAAAGGCGACTTTGGTAGGGGATAGAAGCGTCCAACTGAGTCCGGAACCTAGGCGGTCAAGAACCAACCCGTTCAGCGTCTTATCCCGGGCGGTGAAGAGACAGGTTGCAGCCATGGAAGGGGTCAAAGGCATCTCCTCAGAGGTCACGCTCTCCTGCATCAAGGGGCCGGTCGAGTTCGACGACGAACAAGTAGTAGTTCTCCGTGAGCAGAGCCTAGGCACCCAGTTACTTGGCTGCTACGACTTTACATAGCCGAAGCCAAACACTACTCTAATCTTACTTTCTTGTACATACAATTGGACAACATCTAGGATGACGATGCTTCCCCAGGCTTCTTTTAAATGAGAGTCGTTTTCCTCTCTAACCCTTCACCCCTTGAAGACCTATCCTTGCAATCTTGCCGGCTTCACGCGGGCATTGGGCTGCTTGTAAGTATTCTTATATCCGGAATACATGACCCATTCTACTATAGCTGGCAATCGACCACCGAGGCCCCCTAGCCGGCCATGGACCCTCAGACACATTTTGACGTTCATTTGATACATGATTCGCGGCAATCGGAACCTGAGGACCTTGTACGAATAACTAGCTAACGACCTTGATAGAAAAAAAAAAGAAGCAGGGATAGCCAGAGCAAGCCACCAAAGAAGAAAAGAAAAAGGAATACGTATAAGAAGCAACGGATCGTCCAGAAATTCTCCGAACGGTTCGATCGATCATACAGCCCGTTGAGATCGCACTTACTTACACTACAGAGGAAGAGGCCTGTCCGCGTTTGCACCTGCAACCCAACCAGGCAGAAGAGAAATGAAAAAGGGCCGTTGGCCACGCCTCCCATTATGACCTGTCACTCACCTGCTGCATGGATATGGCTTTTCCCCTCCCTTCCCTCTTGCCAACGACTGTCCGCTAGAATAAAAACAGAAGGCCGTTTTGCCTCTTTCTGTTCGGTTGGACAAACAGGCGTCAATCAGAGGAAACCCGGCCTCTTAAGCCCTTCCTCTGCCTCTCCGTCTCTCGCGCAGGGGTCAAGCCGTGACAGCTCGTTTCACCTCTTGCCCTCTCCGTCTGCCTCCCGCTCCCTCCGTTTCTGTCCGTGGCCTCTAGGGGAAGATAATGCAAGCCGTGTTTGCCACTTACTCGCCCTGCCCTTGAGCATACTCCATACAGATATATCTATAAGATAGGCGCGGGCAGGGATTGGAGATATGATGGCGAGAGGAGAAAGAAGAAAAGAAACACGAAAATAAAAAAAAAAAAAACGAGTGCCTCTTCCCGGTTTTCAGTGGCTTTACCGGTGGAGAAGAGAGAGGACGGACAGCTGGCGTCTCCCCTTCGCTCTTTTCGGTCTCCAACGCCTGTGCCCATGGTGATGCTGGAGATGGCTCGAAGGCGAGTTATCTATGTATCACGCATTTTCTGGGAGAGAAGTCGTATGTCTACAGCACCCTTCTCGCCTTTTCTCTGACCTTTCTTTCTTCTGTTTTTGTCAAGTATATATTCTTCTTTTCTTCTCTTTCTCTTCTACTCTACTACTACTTCTTCTCAACTCCTTTTATATATATATATATATATATATATAATATTTTTTATATTTTTATATATATATATATAAACTGCCCGGCCAGACCGCTTTCGCCTTGTTGACCCAAAACGGAACTGGAGGCAAAAATCAGCTAAAAAGGGCAACTTTTTTTTCACCTTTTTTTAAGAAGGAAAAAAAAACTCCATCTTTTCCTTTTTCTCGACATCCTCGTCTTTCTATCGCCTCCATCCCCAGCATCTACCAGGTAAGTAGACTGACCGCTGCTGCTTGTCTGTTGGCTTTTTCCTCCATCCCCGTTTTGGTGTGTCTATTGAACCCGGTTCCTTTTTTTTTTTGCCTCCCCCTCTTTTTTTTTTTTTTTTTTTTTTTTTTTTTTTTCTTTTTTTCTTCTCCCTTCTTAGGGCCGCGTGGGAGAAAAGCCGCCTTCGACCTGTTCCTCTGCCGTCTAGTTTCTCCTACGCACAAACAACACACAAGCCAGAAGGAATATATTCGTTTCTCTCATCTTCGTGTTTTCTTCTATTCTTCTATCTCAGACTGATTCTCATCTTCTTCTTTTTCTTGTTTTAGAAAAAGAATCTCGACTTTTCTCCTGGACAAAGGAAGCCACAGAAAGCAAAGGGAAAAGACCACATTCCTCCGTCAGGCCCGGACAAAAAGGAAGCAAGGAACGGGGATCAAAAAGGAAGAGCCAGCCTTGATACAAGATGGAATATCAATCCAGCGGTCGTGGATGCTTCAACTGTGGGTTGCGCCTCTGAATTCTGCCCCTACTCTCCCCCGTGGACTGCCAGGATGGACGGGTGATGGCTGGTATACCACGACATCTCAATTGCCTCTGCGCGTGAGATTATACTGTTATGCTGCCCTTCTTCCTGCCATCCTGCCTCTCATTGATCCGCTTTTCACTTTTTTTTCTCTTGTTTACCATATTTTGTTTATTTTCCGTCCATTTCTACTGTGCACTTTTGCTAACGGACCTGTTCAGGTGGCGAATCCTCTCATCAGGTTAATATGCCACGTTCTTCGTCTCTCCGTGGGATAACATTAATTCGTCCCTGATAGGCACGAGATTGCCCCAAGAAGGGAACTCCCACATGGTATGCTCAGAGAAATGTCACTCCATTCATTCCCGAAGAACACCCAAAGACACGAAAAAAAAAAAAAAATAAATAAAAAATAAATAAATAAATCGGAGCGCTCGCTAAAATCTAGATTCTTGATCCTATACAGTTACAACTGCGGTGGTATGTCATGAGGAATATGCAACTCGCGAATTTTTTTTCAACTACTATGGAAGTATGCAGATCTTAATTTTTTTCTTCTACGTTTATAGGACAGGGACACGTCAGTGAGTTTTTGACATTACACTCGGAGAGCAGATGTAGACGTCAAGGGGGAAGAGAGGCTTTGGAGAGAGCAGGAGAGTGTGGAAGCGAAGCGCAAAGAAAAAAGGAAGGATTCGTTATGTGTTTTATTCTCTCTGTAGCTGACTCCCTTTCTTTTTCTTGTCTAGGTCGTGAGTGTACCCAACCTCCAAAGGAGAAGTCCTGCTACCGATGTGGTATGACCGGCCATATCTCTCGTGAATGTCCATCCAGCGGCTCTGGAGATAATAACTACTCCGGCGGCTACTCCGGCGGCTCCGGCGGCCAGGAATGCTATAAGTGTGGTCAGGTCGGCCACATTGCCCGTAACTGCAGTCAGCAGGGCGGCTCCGGATACGGCGGCGGTTACGGCAACAGCGGCAGCGGCTCGTACAGCGGCGGCTACGGTGGCCGCTCGCAGACCTGCTACTCATGCGGCGGCTACGGCCACATGGCCCGTGGCTGCACACAGGGACAGAAGTGCTACAACTGTATGCTCCCTTGCCCAAAGACTACGCATTTATACTACTGCTAACTCCCTCTAGGCGGTGAAGTTGGCCACGTCTCGAGAGATTGCCCAACTGAGGCCAAGGGTGAACGTGTCTGCTATAAGTGCAAGCAGGCCGGTCATGTCCAGGCCGCTTGTCCTAACTAAACGAACTAGCCCGTCCCAAAAAAGAAATGTCGTGGAGAAGAAGATAAATACATTATATGGCACAATTCTCATGCATGCATACATACCAAACCCCCCCCGGCACCTGAAAATAACCTGAACTTTAAAAAAACAGAAAAAAGAATTTGAGCTCGTTTCCCAATGATTAAATCAAACTGCGCCCCTTACCTATCTATCGCCACCTCCACTTTACCCTATCCTCGCCTCTTGTCTACGCAATTAAGCTAAGGAAAGAAGATTCCCCTCTGATGTTTGAATGGCCTCAGAGTAAATGAACAGCCCAATGTCAGCAGTTTCCTCACCTCGACCGAAATACCGTTTGCTTCGTTGAACAGAGCACAAGCAAGGTGTAGGAGACAGCTACAGAGAGGAACGGACGATTTGAAAAGTTACAAAGACAAGGAATGGATTGACTGACTGACTGATTGATTGATTGATTTGCTTATCTCTTTGAGGAAAAAGAAGAGGAAATATAATGAACCAAGAAAAGGAGAGTGTGGGATTTGTGAATATTGCGAGCCCTTCCCCCTTCCTTTTTTTTCCCTTCATGTCTTATAACGATTGATATTACCAGCCTTTTTCTTCTTTTTCGACTGCATCTCCATTACTATTATTACCCCTTTCTATCTACCATTCAAGGGTTCCCCCACCTCCCGTTCTCTTATCTTTCTTGTTAAATACTACAAATTGTGGTGTCTTGAGCCTTTGCTTCGGCCTGCCTGGTGATTTCTTACCCCTGATCCCATCCAGTCCTCTCTCATGGCTTTATGACGGCTTTATGTTACGAACTTTGACCCTGGCCTCAGAATGACAGACAAATCACTCCATTCGAAAAGATATATCACCTCTCTACCTTTATTATATCCATTACTCCTTCTTTCCTTAGGCCGACCTGTTTCCTTTATCTCATTTTTTTCCCAAGATATTAATCCAAATAAACACCCGCAGCCAGCAGCAAGATATACCCGCAAACGCCCCTGAAGTACCTATATCAAATGCTGAAGAGAACAACTTAGGAATCGAGACATGGCTGTCAACAAAAGAGGAAGCCATGTTAAAACATCGAATAGAGAGCCAGGTTCAATTTAACTGTGTCTGGCCTCTCTTCCTCTTGACTCGTTGGTTCGCAATCCTCATTGCCTCCCCTAGGTCCATATCCCCTACGATACTCAGCTTCGTCGGCGGCCCGTTCTCCCTTGGTATCTCGATGACCTCTGGGCCTTGGAAGGAGTATCTCATGCCAGGTGGAGCACGGTACCGGACCGACGCACAAGCTTCCTCGTACGTTGGAATTCCTCTGCTGCGCTGAACGGCTTCTTCTTCTTCGTCTCGGTGCTGTTCCGCAGATTCATTGATAGCTCGCTGCATGTCATTGTCGAAATCGTGAGCGGCTTGAGCGGCAGCAGCTCGAGCCTGGAACTCTCTACGGGATCTGCGTAAAACATCGCGTACGTGATTATTGGTTGTATCTATGGGGGTAACAAGGAGCATTGAATAGTGTCTAGGGGCGGCGGTTCTTCGCCTTTCACCACTGCCCGCCGGAGGAGCTGGGCTTCTTGATCTAGGCGATGGTGCAGGCCCACCTGGAACCGGCAATCCAACCTGGTTAGCAGACCTGGTTGGATTTGACGGTCGTGTTGGATTTGGGGCCCTGGTTGTGTTGGGAGGACCAGTTGCATTGGAACGAGATAAGGCTGTGTAAGGGGAGACGGCTCCCTCTGAGTCCTGCCATTCAGGGCTACTGCGGCCGAAGCTGAAGGCTCGAGATCTCGTAACTGCATTCCTCATGGCATCTCTCATCCGGTGAGTACGAGGCCTCGCAGCTTGAGCTTCCCTTTCCTCCCCCGAAGGCTG